AAGTAGTTCAATGATAACAATTGATGATCTTCCTGAAATTGAAGCAGACATACATTTAACTGATACTGTTAGAAACTTAAAAACAGAATACATTCCAAATGATTTATCAAACAATATTGATGAAAAAATAGTAGAACCACTTTATATGAAGGGCTTACCAGATGTGACTAAAGATACAAATAAAATACCAACATTAATTAATAGAACACTTGTTCCAGCACCAATTTTAAAAACAAATAAACAGTTGCAATTACCTTTACCTACTAAAAAGAATATAACCCAACAAGAACCAACATTCAAAAGTGCAGAAATGCAACCAGTTGTTCTTCATGAAGAAACTAGTACAAAGACAAATGCTTCTTTTAAACCAATAAAATTAACATCTTTTCTACAGAAATCTCATTCTGTTTTAGCAATACCAACTGCATTTCATGATTCTTTACACGAAGATTTAATTAATGAAACATCTGCAGATAAATCATCTCATACTTCATTGATAGAAACTAATCCTAATGTAACTTTGGTACAAAATAATACAATTATAACAAATTCAGAAAAAACTAGTGATATTAAAAGCCCAACACCAAAAAAAAAGAAACTTTCAAAAAAAGGATTAAAAAAAAGAAGTACAGGTTCAGCCTTGATTGCGAAAAATCATAATACAACATGTATAAAAAGTGATAATGTAAATATTGTAGATAAACATGAGTCACAGCAAGTTCTTTATACAGATAATAAACAAGATCAAAAAGAAATTCAAATAGAAATGGATCAAACGGATAATATTGATGTATCTATGTCAGAAACATCCAAAAATATTATTATAGAAAAAAATAATATTTCTTCAGAAAGTAATGAAAAAGACATACAAAATAATGATAATTCAGTGAATGATATATCAGAACAAATAAAAGGTACAGAAGATAGAAGACAAAGTCTTGATGAAGATGAAGAGGCATTAAGAGCAATTTTATTAGCTTCTTTGCCAAAACGAACAAAAATTACTAACAATTGCTCCAATTCAGATACAATATCTACTGCATCTACTACATTAAATCAAGTACTTGTAAATCAAACTGTATCAAATATTGTATTACCCACAGCTAACTTATCAATTCCACATGTAAATTTATATGGTTCTGAAAATGATAAAAATCAATCAAATTCTGGAGAAAAAATAAATAATATCATACAAAAAGATTTATCTGTTGATAATAATAAAACTTTAAATATAACAACTTTGGGAAGGAAAAGATCAATCAATATAACAAAAGGTCCACAGAGAAAACTTATAAAAAGAATTTCAATTCCTGCAAGTACAAAAGTTGTAAATAATGCAAAAAAATACCAAAATACAATGATTCAAAAGAGATTAAATTTACAAAAATCTACTCTTTATAACAAACAAAAAATAACAGAAAATAAAATTTTATCTAAAGTACAATCTAATGATAGCAAATGGTCTGCTAATTCAAAGGCATTGTCTGATACACAACGAATTGTTATAAATTTAGAGTCTGATACAGAAAGTGATTCTGAATCTGAACGACAAAAAAATATAACTGTTTCTTCAGTTCATTCTGTTATAACAGAAAAACATCAACCAACAATAAACTCTACAACAGAATTTGAAAAAAATTTAGATCAATTTTTACGTGCAGTGCGAAGGAAACAAGAATCTATGGCAGCTGCAAGACCAACTTCAATATCACAAACACCTAAAAAAGATACAGTATTAACAACAAAATCAGAAAAATTAAATTCATCCAACAATCTTCATACACCATTGGTAAGAATACTATGACAAAATATTTTATCATGTATAAAATATTTACTTTTATATTTTTGCAGGCTGTTCGTCATTTGCCCGTATCTCAGCAAGAAGAATATCGTCGCTTAAAACAACAAATTTTAGAACGTGAAAAATTAAAATTGCATAAAACTATGGAAAATAATAGCTTAATAAAAAATAAAAATATGGAAATATTTTCAAAATCCACACTATCCAATAGTCAAAATAAAGAATTATGTATAAAAATAAATCAAATATCTACGAAAAGTCAAAATATAAATACACAACAATTAAACAAAGAAAATTGTTCTAAAAATTTAATAGATTCAATAAAAAATACAGCTATATCAACAAATAATGTTCAATCATGTAGTAAAACGTGTAATGTTGTTGATAAACGAGAAAATACAAATCCGAATCAAACAAAATTGTTATCAAAATCAACGACAAATAATGATGTTTGTGTATCCATTGAGAACAATCCAAATAATATTAGAAACAAAGTAGTTGAAAATTCTGTACAATCGACAAGTACACGAAAAATTTTTGAAATGCCTGCGCAGAAAATTGAAATGAAAACGAGGATTTCACCTGGTCTAAAAATTTTATCTATAGATGAAGTAAATCAGAAATATGTACAAATACAAGTAAAAAATGATACAAATGAACGAGTAGTAACAATAAATGACAAAGTGTCCTTAAATAATAAAGCAGTAATTAATCGAAATGAAAATATTTCTGGATATAAAGATAATAATAATAAAAATACATGTGATCATGATATAAATAACATGCTTTCTACGAATAATATTATATCTAATGATAATAATGCAGTGGACTCAGATGCATCAACAGTTATCTTGTCAGAAAGACATCAAGATAGGAAAGAAAATCTTGATACATCTGAATCTACGATTTCACTTTCACAACATCAAGAGGATTTATCATCGATTTCAAATGCGGAAAATAGTCATTTTCTATTTATTCAAAATAATATATCATCAAAGGATACAAAAAGTATAGAGGAAAATTGGGACGAAATTAAAAAAGATGTTAAAACAGAATTAAATACTCTTATTAATCTATCACGCGCAGAACAAGAACAACATTTAATAGATACTGAAGAAAAATTAGTTATGAAACGGTAAATAATCTTTCAATTATAGTTTATATCTATATAATATCTATATATATAATATATAATATCTATTGGCTTTTAATAATTTCTTTATTTTGATAAAATAGCTATACAATCTTAGATGATTTAGCGGAAATGTCAAGTAATCTTCGTCAGTGGCACATGGAACGAGATTTACAAACAAATTTAGTTGCTGAAGTGAAAAAACTTAGAGAACAGTTAAAAGTTGCTGAAGAAAGATTACAAGTACAACGTAATCGTATTAATAATATAGGTCCAAGAGTAGTAGCAGCACATGAAAAAGTTAACGCAGGTCGGCAAGAATGCTTTAAACTTGCAACTATTTGTTCAACTTTAGGAAGTAGGATTATGGGAAAAGAGTACAAGTAATATTCATATAATTATTTTCATTAATTGTTAAATTATTAATTATAAATATTTTTAAATTATTGATATTTTCTTTAGAGTACCTGAAGCTGGAGCACAACTTTTAGATAATAGATTAAAAGAAGTAGCTAATCATACGCGGCAACTTTCTCGAAAAAAAGTACCATCTATTGATATTTCCGATATGTACGAATTATCGAGATTGGAAGAAGAAACTGTATCTACTACATGTACAGAAATTTCGCAAAATAAATCTCTGTTATTAGAAGAATGCAATATTGATAGAAGTATCTTAAATGAAGATCAATCAAGAATAAAATCAAGCGATATTGAAAAAAATATACAAATAGAAGAACAAATAGAAGACATTACAATAAATAAAAATAAAACAGATAAGGAAACAGATATAATATTAAATATTTCCACTCTAAATTTTGATGAAAGATGTATATCTAAACAAAATGATATTGAGCAAAAAATATTTGAAGAAACAAATTTAACTAATAATAATACAACTACCACTAATATTCTTAAACCAGAAGATATTCAAAAACTGGATAATAATATGTCAGAAAATAATATAATAAGGCCTACAATTTTAAAACCTGATACTAAGAAGAGGAATTCTACAAAATTCGAAGGAGAGCTTCAGAGAAAAAAAACACTTTTATCTTATGAATCAATATTAACACACTTTAAAATACCAAGGTGGGTTTTGCTCTCTAAATATTTTAATAATTTTAATATATCTGTTTGTAAATAACATAACTTAAATAAAATAACATAAACTTTTTTTAATTTATATTACAAAAATTTTGAGCATTTTTTTGTTGTTTTTATCATTCTTAACCAGGAACACGAATCCCAATGGTGTCCTTTGTCCATACGAACTGATGGGAACATGCAGTGATGGAGATTGTCAATTTATTCATCAAACAGAGAGTCAAACCAAGTAGCATTTAGCTACCAAAGTGGCATTATTAAGTTATACGTAAGGTGGTTTTAATCTTTAAACATAAGATTCACACAGGACATTATGAAATAAAAATCAAGATTTTTAAAGTGATCATACTTTTTTATAATAAATATTAATTTTTAAATTAGAAAATTTTTATTGCGAATAAATGTTATCACTTTTATAATTGCAGGTACTACTATTTCTGAGGAAGCAATATCCCATATAGATGGAAGAATCCTGTTAACAAGCAGAAGTAACACCTGAAGATGGTAAGTTATCTTCATCACGGCAGGAGTTTGTGCACAAATTAAAGTAGCCATTTTATTACATAAAAATTATAAATTTTAAAAAAAGCAAAATTTTTAATACTGTGCTATTTCAAGCTTCTATTCTAATGAAAGTTTAAAGAAGATTTGCTGCAAGTGTTTATTTTTTACATATGTAAAAAGTGTCATATAAACTGCAAATAATTAGTGTGATTAATGTAAAAAAAGAAAAAAAAAAAAAAAAAAAAATCGAGAGAAAAAAGAAGAAATTGTTGACCGATTGTTGAAGACAGCTCTATGAACGGCCGACATTGCAACAAATATTCATTTCGTACTTCTATATAAGTTACCTCATAAAAGTCTTGTACCTGTATAATAAAAGATTAATATTTTTTTCTAATTGTGAGTTTATTTATTTTTAAAATTAAGTTTATCAATAAGTATAAGAAAAAATTATTATTTTCTACTTAAATTATATATTTGTTTACAAAAAATTTTTTTAACATTATATTTTTATTAAAATTTTAAGCCCTTAGCTTTAAGTTCATCCCATCGACGAATCCACTCGTTTGGACAAATAGATTGAAAAACTTGTTTGAACCATGTGCATGTAGCTGTTCCTTTTCCTAAAATCTCTTCACAACGATCGAAATCGGTGTACATTATAAAACAACGTATTGTTTGATTCTGTTGTTGAAATCTGAATAACAATATTGAAAATTATCATTATTCAGAATATCAAGAAAGTTAATTATAATTATATAAGTAAAAATAATAAATACTATCAAATTTACCTTGGATCTTCACCGAAAGTAACGTCTGTAACTTCTTCTTTTTCTTCTTCTATTAAATCTCTCTCTTTAAGACATGGATCATCTTCATCTACTACTATAGTTATTTTTTTCTTCGGTTTTTTTTCATCATTAATTTGATTACCTTCCAAATTATTCATATTATTCATATTATTTATATTTTTTTCCCGAAAAATAGTTTTCATTCTATCCATTTTAATGTTTTCATCAGAATTCATAATATTTTAAATTCATATTTTAATTTTTATAAAATATGTTATTTATAATAAATTATTTTATAAGACACGTACAATAAATCGAATTAAATAAATGTGATATAAAAAATTAATATAGATGTAAATATTAATTAAGATATATTTTATTATATTTTATATTTTATTGTATTTTGACAATTTTAATTTTTAAACGTAATATATATATATATATATTATATATAAATATATGTGAGTATATATAAAACGCCCTCTAGTATACAAATATTTATTATCAATTCCTTATCATTTTCTCTATAAAATATTAAAAGTCTAATTCGTAAAATAAAAAATTATCAAATTTTAAGCTATTTTAATTTTAATTATTTTTATTAAAAAATTCACATTTTTTATGATTATTTTTTCTTTTAAATATAAAATTCACCTGTCAATGAAAAGATAAACAATAAATGTTTTTACTTAGTGTAGCCAACTATTCATAAACTTATATAAATTAACTATGAGTTCAACGGCATGAGTGGCGGTAGAAAAAAGGAAACTATGAAACAAGTCATATATGTGTTGTAAAGTATTTTTTGCTAGTATTTAAAAATATTATAATATTAAAATGATATCATTGGAATATTTACTTCTTTACATTGTTTTATTTGTAATAATATGTATAATTATGGTATGTTTTTAGGTTAAATCATATTTACATATTATTTTAATTTGTTTAAACGTGGCAATTTTATAAATGTATTAATATCGTTTCAGTAAAATTTTATTAAAAAAATATATTATATTATACATAAATAATTGTTATTATTATATATTACATATAAATAATTGTAATTATTTTCCTGATATATTAATATAATTATTTACTTTTTCAGTTTTCTTTAATATTATTTATAATAACACAACCATATCCAGAAATATGGCGAGATGAAAAAGAAAAATATTTTTTAAATCTAAAAACAAAAAATATAGAAGCTTTTCCATCTTTATATGAAAAATGGAGTGTACATTTAAGTGTTGTTATACCAGCATATAATGAAGAAGAAAGATGTAAATATTTATTTATTAACAATATTAATTATAAAAATATTATAAAAATATTATAAAAACATATATATATTCATATATTTAATTTATAGTGCCCCTAATGTTAAATGAATGTTTGGAATATTTGGAAAATCGATTAAAAAATGGATGTACTTATGAAGTAATTATAGTTAATGATGGAAGTTCAGATAAAACTATGGATATTGCTCATAAGTATGCATTAAGATATGAAAATATTAGAGTACTAAATCTTGTTAAAAATAGAGGAAAAGGTGGAGCAGTAAGACTGGTTTGTAATAAAATGCTATAAATTTTAAATTCTATAATTACTATTTATTTTTTATCACAATTATTTTTATTTAAGGGTATATTAAGTGCAAGAGGAAGTGTAATACTTTTTGCAGATGCAGATGGTGCTACAAAGTTTAAAGATTTAGAAAAATTAGATAATAGTTTGAAAAATATTTTAGGATGTAAGTTATTTTTTAAATTACACATTATAATATAATATATTATATAATATATTTATATATTAAAAAATATTTTTCTTTCTCAGTTGATTATATAACTAAACCAAATGAAATTAGTTATTCTCATGCAATAGTATGTGGATCAAGAGCCCATTTAGAAAAAGAAGAAACTGCCAAAAGAACTTTTTTTCGATTGTTATTAATGCATGGATTCCATTTCTTAGTATGGTTTTGGGGTGTAAGAGGTATTAAAGATACACAATGTGGTTTTAAACTTATAACACGTGAATCTGCAAGAGCTGTATTTCAAGCTTTACATATTGAACGTTGGGCATTTGATGTAGAAATGTTATATATTGCAAAAATGTTAAATATTCCTATTACGGAGATTCCTGTGAACTGGACAGAAATTGAAGGATCCAAAATTGTACCCTTCTGGAGTTGGTTACAGATGGGAAAAGATTTATTTTTTATTTGGTATAAATATAGAATTGGAGCATGGAAAATAAAAAGATTTAAACAAATGTAAAAACAAGTGCAACTCAAAATATTTATAAATATTTCTATTCAATATATGTATTTTTATTTGATTCACATTTTTCCATTAAAATTAGAAAGATATCATATTTGATATATAAAAATATTTTTCCTTTGTAAGGAAAATTTATGAATGATTAAAACAATTTTTATTTTACACAATCATAGAGGAAATTATAATGAATTATCATTAATGTTTTTAAAACTATTTAATATTGTAGATTAATTTAATTAACAAGGTATATTACCTCTATTTTATATTTATTCTTTTAATGTGTTTTAATGTATTATAACATGTATCATAATTTTGTAAACAAATATTTTCGATTCAATTAATAAATTCATTAAAATTTTAAAAGAAGTTTCTAGTAACTTTTCTTCTATCTCTGATTAACTAGTAACTACACATATATATATAGATGAATATATTATCATAAATACTATATATATAATATAGTATAGTCATGTATTTAATACTACATGATTTCTTAGTGGTATGACGTGTTTGTGACGTTTTATTTCTAAGAAATTTTTTACGAATCCAATTTATATTATATTACCATTAGTTACTGTAATTAATTGTAAAGTGACATTAAGTAAAATAACTATTGAATTATTTCGAATTTTATACTTAAACGTTAATTTAAAGATGTCATTTGTATCGCCTATGCCTAGTCGAGAATTCCTCTGGGATGTTTTTCAAAGGTATTTTAAAACTTATTTATTTATTAATAGTTTTAATATTGAAATATAATTTATAGTATAATATAATATATTAAATATGATATAAATATTGGTTAAATTTATTATTTAACTATAAATATAAATGAAGTTCTCGAAAAGCAACTACATATTTCAATATATATTTTTTAAACATTTTATTATAATTTGTATATAATGAGAAAATAAGAAAGAATATCTCAATAACATTAAAAAATAAAATATTTTATCAAAAATCTTTCATATAGATTTGAAAGATTTTTGTAATTCTGTTATGATGTATAAAAAAGAGAAAAAAAATAATAAAAAACTTCGTTACATCTTAATGATTTCGAATAAGTTGGGATAATAAGTTAGAAATTTTTAATTCATGGTCAATATAAGATTGCAAATTATAGAGATACAATAATTTTTTTTCGATTTTTTTTTAAAAGTTATAAAAATTCAATTATCCTTTCATTTTTTTTATATTATTGAATAAAAAAAGTTTCATTGAAATCTATTTTTTCCAAAAATTTTAATTATTCATACAATTATAATATGAATATTTATTTTATAAATAATTATAAATAACAAATAAAATTTTATTATTAATTATTAATTAAATATCGCACATACAAAAGTTTAATATTCTTTAATTTGTATATTGTAGGGTTGATAGAGACAGATCTGGTGCAATTACTGCAGATGAATTACAACAAGCTCTTTCAAATGGAACATGGACACCATTTAATCCAGAAACAGTGCGTTTAATGATTGGTAATTATTGTAATTTTATTGTTTATAATTATACAGACAAAATTGTAATATTAATTTTTTAAAAATCTTATATTAATTTTTAAGATTTTAATATGTTAATACATAAAAAAATATTTAACAGAACTTCTTGAGTAGATTTGCATGGTCTTATAATTACAATTTTAATATATTTTTAGTTCATTTTATTGATACAGGTATGTTTGACATTGACAAAACTGATCCTGATTCTTCAGGTATGTTCGATAAAAATCAAAAGGGTACAGTTAGTTTTGAAGAATTTGGAGCTTTATGGAAATACGTAACAGATTGGCAAAATTGTTTTCGATCATTTGACCGGGATAATAGTGGAAATATTGACAGAAATGAATTAAAAACAGCTCTTACAAATTTTGGATATAGATTATCAGATCAAATTATAGATACTCTTATACGCAAATATGATAGAGCTGGTCGTGGAACTATATACTTTGATGATTTTATTCAGTGCTGTGTAGTTTTATATGTAAGTATACATTTGAATAGCATTTTGGTATAGATCATATTCTACATTTAAATTACTATAAAATAAATTAATTTTTTTTATCTTTTAGACTTTGACTACTGCCTTCAGACAATTGGATACAGATCTAGATGGTGTTATTACAATTCACTATGAACAATTCCTAGGCATGGTATTCAATCTTAAAATATAAATCATTTTGTGCTTCAATGTTATTCTTGCCTTTGGCATTATATTCTTATACAAATACGAATTATTTGATGCCAAATTTGAAAATATGAATTTATTCATAAAAAAACTTTTCATATCAAAATTAAAATCTTATACATTTAATATGCTTGTATGTAAATCTCAATTAAGAAATCATAAATAATCAGTTGTATGTATATATAAACATTCCTAAAAAATTAAAAATTACACATATATCTAAATTTGATTATAAACATAAACATTTAATTTTTATTCTCTATTTGTTATAAGAAAACGAAAATAATAAATATTTAATTATTCATTAGTTGAAAGAAAAGAAATATTTAAAAAAATAAATAATAGGTTTTAAAAATGAAAAATATTTCAGTTAAAAAAAAAAAATATGAAAGATCGTCTATAATATATATTTTTAAACAATAGTTTTCATTAAAATATATAAAGAAAAACAAATGTCAATTATATATTAAAAATTATTTATCATATTATCTTTAGATATATATTTCAATGTTTTAATACATTTTAATATGTATTATATTTTCTTATTGCAGCATTTCAAATGTCTATTTAAGTCTTATCTAAGTAAATAATTAAGAATTTGAAATTATTTTAACTATATATTCTTAAAATATCATTATAAATAATTATTATGTACTACTTCAAATTATGTATGAAATCTACATTTCTGTAATTTTTTATCATTATTAAATTAATTACAAACATATATTTTAATTGAATGTATTTTTATTTTTTTTATTCCATTCATTTTTTTTTTTTTTTTGCTCATGAAAAATGTAAAAAATAAATTTATAAAAAATACATAAGGATAATAAATAAATCATTTCTCGAATTCGCTCGATTATCAGTTCATATTATATGATAATAATAATTTGAATTAGACGATACATTAAAATAAAAGAAACTTATTTACACACATATAAAAAAGTGATTTATAATTTGCAATGAATTTAGAAAAATTCTGCCATTATTTACCAAAATTGGTACGTAATCTATTTAATCTACAATATAGAGGTTAATGTTTGTAATTAAAGAATATTTTTTCTGTATTTATAGGAACTTCATGCTCATTTAAATGGATCTTTAAGCACGGATACTTTAAAAAAATTATACAAAATGCAAAATTCTGAATTAGGAAGTTATGAAAATGTATTTATGGACATGAAAGATTTTTCATCATTAGACGAGTACGAATAACAATACAAATTTTAAATTTCTAATTTTTAAATGTGTTATATTATTATTCTATAAAACAAATGTATAATTGTTTATAGATGTTTCAAAGTATTTGATATAGCACATTCATTGACAGTAACACCAGAGGCAATTTTTCATGCTACTTATAACACAATTAAAGAATTCCAAGATGATAATGTAATATATTTGGAACTTAGAAGCACACCTCGTGCTATTCCTGAGAAAATGTCAAAACAAGAATATGTAGAAGCAATCATAAAAGCATTTGAGTAAATATAATTTAAAATGTTTATCACTTTTTAAAAGTCAAAATATTAAGAAATTTTTAATTTAGATTATTTTATAATTATAGAGTCTGCAAAATTGATTTTCCAAATATATTATTGAAGTTATTAATATCTGTTAATCGTAAGCAAGGATATAAAGCAGCACAAGAAAACATAGAATTAGCAATAAATTTTATGAAGAAATATCCACAATATATTGTTGGACTTGATCTCAGTGGAGATCCAATGACAGGAAGTATTTTTTTAGAATTATTAAGAAAAGCTAGAATGGCTGGACTTAAAATAGCAGCTCATTGTGCAGAGGTGAAACTAAGTGAATATTTAAATTAAAATTAATTTGACTTTCTGATTAAATTAAGTGTTTTCTTATTTATCTTATATAGGTTTCAAATGAAACAGAAACAATAGATATTCTTGAATTTAAACCAGATAGATTAGGACATTGTACTTGTGTTCATCCTACATTGCAAGGGACGAATAAATTATTTAATCTGCTTATTAATTCAAGAATTCCTGTAGGTAAGAATGAAAAAATTATATTAATTTAAAGTTTGTTACTTAATTTATACAGAAATATATCAAATATTTTGTATTATTTATTTATCTTTTTACCTAGAACTGTGTTTAACTTCAAATGTTCGATGTAAAACTGTACCTACTTATGAATCTCATCAATTTAAATATTTGTTTGAAGTTGGTCATCCTATTTGTCTTAGTGTGAGTAAAATTGTTAACATTTATCGAATAATCAAATTTTAAAAAGTATATTTTATTTTTTAGACTGATGACAAAGGTGTCTTTCATACATCTTTATCTCAAGAATATAAAATAGCTAGTTCAACATTTAATTTAAGCCGAGAACAACTAATAAAACTTTGTTTATCATCCGTACAATATGCTTTTGTTACATCAGAAGAAAAAGAAGTATTATTATCTAAGATCAAAAATTTTTATCGTAAAGAGTATACTATTAAAGATTGAAAATTTATTATAACAAATTTAATAACTTAAATTAATAAAATTAATAAAATCGAAATTTTAAGTTATCAAAAAATCCGAATGTTCTAAAATTATGAAATGCATTCCTAAATGCAGATATTATATTATAATTATAACAATTCAATCATAAAAGTCAACAAATTTTAAAAACTTTTTTTTTTATATATATAAATATTGAATTGATAAGTTATCGATAAAAGTTTTAATCGGTAAGTTATAAAAAAAAAAAAATGATAAAATAATAATTCAAATATCGAAGTAGTCTCTTGAACGTATAAATTTTACAAAGAAATATAAATAAAAATAAGAACAAATAATAAAAGAAGCACAGAGATAGATTAAAAATTGTGAAATCAACATCATCTTTAGAATGGCGCAGATGAAACATAAATATAGATAAGAAGAATAAATAATAGAAGAATAGAGATAGGATAAGAATTAACAGTCAACGCCATCTTAAGTATTCTATTTTATTTTCTATCTTTAACGACATGTCAATATTTCTATCCTTCTCTTATTATTTGTTCTTTTTGTTTATATTTGTATTTCATTCGCAACACTCTAGAGATGGCGCTTCTCATATTTCTATCCTCTTTTCATTATTTTCTTTCTTTGTCTATACTTGCTTTGCAAAATTTATGCTCGAAATTTATGTTCGAAAGACAATTCAATATCTAACAACTGTTATTGTCTTCTTTTTTAACTTATTGATTAAAAATCTTAATCAGAATTTTTTCCAATTAATTTTGTAGTTTGTTTCAGTTCGATCTAACAAACAGAATTCTTATAAAGATTAATAATGCAAGAAAATATAGATATTAAAAAAAAATATTATGATAATGGTATAAAGGTGAGATGAGATTATAAAACTATCGATATAAAAGTAACATCGATTTTATTCGTTATGATATTAATGGATTTACATGGATTTACAGATAGTTAAGTTGCTACTTACGGAGATTAAAATAGTTAAATGTCATCAGGAGTTCCATGTTTATTTTGTCAAGATTGAATGTAGTATATACAACATTTATAATAGTTATTACAATGTTATGCCTGTAAATGTGTATTCTTTTTTTTTTATTTCGATATTGAAGAAAAAATTAGTAATACTTACAAGCCGGCATCGAACAGATAGTTCGATAAACGCTAACGATTATCTCCCTATCAAAATTACAATCGACTGATGAAACTATGTATAATGTTGCATGTAATTTTTTTTTTTTTTGTTGCTCATTTCATGACCGATCTAATGATTTCATGTTCTCCATAATCAGTTAAAAAAAAAATATGAAAATCGAATTTATTATCATATGAAAAGAAAAGATTGAAAAGATTAAAACGTATTGCCAACTTTAAAGTTGAGCAGTGAGAATATTTTCTTTTTTTATTTTAGATCAAGTGTTTCAAATAAAAATGGGTCAATTTTTTACGATTACATAAAAAAATAGGGAGCAACAAGGATTCCTTTTTTTTATAATTTTGATGCGAACGTTCTGTTTTTTTTTTTCTCTCTCTTTTTTTTTTTTTGTTNNNNTTTTTTTTTTTTTTGTTCTTTTATTAGAACCGTTATTCGCTATCACGCCATAACAAGGTGATAATAGTAAATATGTAGTTGGATAATATACTAATAGTAGTATTAGGAATAATAGCAATATAGTCGTAATATTAATATTGACGATGATAATAATATCATTCTTAATAACCATAATAAGAAATTATTTCTACCATATATAATATTCGTCCTATATAACAGTCTTTTTGGCTAACCTTCGAACTATAAACAATAAAACAGTTTCTTCCTTCTCGATACCGCATCGTTATCAATATGAAAAGTCCATCAAATAAGCCAACAACATTGTATTCACTTTCCAATATCCCGCTGACAAAAACTGACAAAAAAATTGTCCGCAAAATTTCTTTCCTCTTACCTATCTTATGTACTTTGTATTACTGTCGCGCGTATTATTCTCTAATATCTTACCTCCGCTAAGTTTGTATCCTAACAACTATGACTAAGGATGCTTTTATTCTCATTCTGAACGCTTTGTGAATGCGCTTATCTTCTAAGGGGATAAGTTTTTTTTTTTTTTAATTCTGTATGATTCTTCTGCGCGTTACATACTAAGCATTAATATAAAGTAAACGTTGCTATATTATACATTTATAATACGTGGGTGTTCAGCGTTTTCACAGTCCCTGGCTGTTGGCTGCGGTATCGTTATTGAACTGGCCCTAGTCATCGAAACAACATGATTATCTATCGTTAGAAAAAAAAAAAAAAAAAAGAAAAAGAAGAACTTAAAGATCGACGATGCGTACGATAATAATAAAAAATGCGAAATACGTAGTGCGAGCGAAACATTTGAATGCTACTCGGTTAAATGCTTTTTATGATAATCGCTCGTACATCTCTCTGCGCATTTAATATAAAAAGAAAGAAAACAACGCGAAAACGTAAATAAAAAGTAAAAAAGGAAGAAACAAGTTGTAACGATCCGTCTTTTGCGTTCGTTTCGCAATTTTCGTTTGATTTCGTGGAGTTGATCCACACGTATGTCTCGTAAAAAGAGGAAGCAAACCATCACGTATCGATACCGCCTGATTTTTTTTTCTTTTTTTTTTTACAAATCTGCCTACAACGAAAAGAAAGTAAAAGAAAATAAAAATTACTCGTGCGTATAATATAAAAATCACCATACATAATATCTTTTTCTCTCTAATGTCTAACAGTAATAATCAATAATTAATAATAATAATTATAATTATAATAATGGCGTATCTTCTTGTAAACTGTCGCACTGAGCTCTGTCCCTTTTGCGAAAGAAAAATGTATTCGAATGACTATGTACATATACTTAACGAACGAGCAACAAGATGGACATTTGTCTAATGTATATAAGAAGATGTGTGCATATACGTATGTGTATGAATGTGTGTATATGTGTGTGTGTGTATATATATATATATATATATATATATATATATATATACAGAATTAAGCATCTGACATTATTCTTTTGATTTAACATACGTATTATTATCTATAAGTAAAAATATTTCGAGACAACAAGATAAATTTATTTTTCTTCGTGGAGAAGTATTGAAGTACGCTTGAAAATTAAATATCCTTTTTAAATGGAATTATATATTTTTTATATTAAAAAAAAAAATAATAATAATAATAATAATCAACAAAAAATAATATAATAAAAAAATATATGATTCCATTAAATGCAGGAATAAGGCATTAGTCTCCTTATATTTTCACGTACAACAGAATCAATATCATAAAAATTTATTCCGTTCGAAATTTTCCATCCAATTTCTATCCGAAATATTTTTCTCTTACGAATAATAATATTAACGTAAATCATCGATTATAAATCATCAATTACCCAATCCTGTATATATCTGTGGTACGACTGTGAACTAATGTGCGCGTGTGTGAGTGCGTTGAAGAATGATACAAGTGTGAATATTTGTGTGCACAAATACATATGTACACACACCTGCTTTTTTTTCTTTTTTTACATTCGCTGTGATATCGAGTTAATGATATCGTGGTAAAAAGTTAACGTAACAAATATACACACACGCATGCTGATTTAAAACGCTATAATAAAATAACGAAAGAAATAACTGATTTCCCGAACAGAGGGGAGAGAGAGAGAGAAAAAAAAAAAAAAAGAAAAGAAAAGAAAAGAAAAGGAAGAAAAGAAAAACTAAAAAAAAGAAAAATCGACACGCCGCTCAAATCTCGAGAAATCAGCATCAATAAATAAGTTAAGATGTTTTGATTCGGTGATTGATAAAGTGACGAAAGGAAGAACGAACGAACGAAAGAAACAAAGAAAGAAAGAAAGAAAGAAAGAAAAAAAAAAAGAAAAAAGACAAATGATCGATCCGGTTCGGAAGTTCGTTACTCAAAAAAACGGTTAATCTATTTGGCCGAGTGCTTCCAGTCAAGATTCTTCGAAGAAAATTCTTTCCGCTCTAGTTCAACCGTACAAGTATCGTTATTTTGTCACGTGTATATTCCCCTTCCCCCCCTCCCTCCCCCCTACCTTCCCCCTTTCCTAATCATATCATTGGGTTGAACGAAAGGAAAGAGAATGCGATATCGAGTGGTCGTCCGACCGACCGATAAACCAAGTCTTTGCACCCTTTACACCCTTCATACCGCATATTCTCGATTCTTTGTTTATAATATTGCTCCTACTTATAACCGACGCGAGGGAGTGTGTCCTATAGAGCTATAGTTTCGCGGGTGAGTTGACGATTCGTTGAGCGTTCACGAGACCACACCCCGCGACGGTTTCGCGTTATTGTTGTTGGTGGACGCTGTACTGCTCGTGGACCTACTGTCACTTTGAGCGAACAGAACACCTTGATACATCACTCCGTTCAACTCCATACTGACTACTAAGGAATTGTCACCGTTCCTCCCATCACCTGGAAAGTCAAACAATCTCATCATTGCGCTGAAAAAGAGAGGAAGAGAGAGAGAGAGAGAAAGAGAGAGATTCGATTTATCTTACCTCTATTTGAAATTTTAATGTGCGTGCCCAGGGTGGGTGGGGCGTTCTTCTCGGGCGGACTGTCCTCATCCGAGAGTAACCTTTTAGCGGGAGGAGGTCCAGGTGCGACAGTCAGTTCCGTATCCCTCTTGACTTGCATACTGCCACCCGAAGATGGTGAACTTTGCCTTGCCGGTGAGGATACAGGCGATGACCTGTGAAAAAGGAACTCGCGGCTTGTTTTCTAAGGTTAAAAGAAAAAAAAAAAAAAAA